CTGGAGAGCCTTGAAAATGGCTGTCCACCAACGGTCCCTTTCCAACCTGACTGAGCTTGAAAGGATTTGCAAAGAATGGCAGAAGATCCCCCAATCCAGGTGTAAAAAGCTTGTCACGTCATACCTACACTCGGGGCTGTAGTTGCTGCCAAAAGTGCTTCAAGTACTGAGTAAAGGGTCTGAATATGTGATAGTTTTTTCTTTTTAATAAAAGTCATGAACATTACCAAAAGAATAGTGACTGGCAAGAGCGATCACTTTGACATAGTTGGCAGGCTGGAACATGTACTGCAATACAAGCAAACTTAGAATCCCCCCCCTTTTATAGCATTTGTCCATAAGTGTGAAAGGGGCCTAATAATTTTATCTTTTTCAATGACATGGTGCAGAACAGTAATTTAAAACGGCAAGAATGCCTCAAGTTGCTGTGTTGTATTTTGATAAATCTATAAGTTATGCTCACTTTGCTGTAAACCCTTTATTATATTATATATATATATATATATATATATATATATATATATATATATATATATATATATATATATATATATATATATATATATATATATTTCTACACACACACAAAAGTATGTAAACCCCTTGGGTTTAACTGCTATTCTACAGTAATTTGCTGTAAAATGTCATCTGATTCTAATCTAAGTCAAAACAATAGACAAGTACAATGTGCTTAAATTGTTGACACACACACACACACACACACAATTCTAATTTATCAGGTCTTTATTGAACAAATTGAAACATACACAGTGCTGGAGGAAAAAAAGTCTGTATATACAGTAAAGCATCCTCGTTCTACTCAAGGGGTTAATCCTCTGCATTGTGTAAAAAGGCTGTTTGATCCTCCCCTTATTTTGCTATCCCCAATTCATTTGTAATAGTTAAAGCAGTGGTGGCAGTGTTTGTTTTTGTGGTTTTTTTTCTGGGGGGGGGGGGGGGGGGGGGGGAGTAGAAGAGTGCACGCGATCGTCAGCACAGGCCCAATCAGTGTTGTCCAGACAGAGGGTCGGGGGTTATGCAGCCTCAGAGAACACTCAGAGGAGAATGAAAACTCTGATTAACCAGTGCTTGGCTGGACACTGATAGAAGTAGTAGATGCTATATACTGCTGATGAGAAAAGGTATTTAGCAGTTTATATTTACTAAAAAAATTGCATTTCCATGTTCTGTGTAATGTGGAAGAGTGGATATAGTGTACTCAGAGTCATGGGTTTAGTAACACTTTAATAGCTGTCCAAACCTCCGTTGGCAGCAACAAATTCAAATAAGCACTTTTGGTAGCTCTGACACCAATTTGCACAATGTTCAGGAGGAATTTTTGACCATTCCACCTTACAAAAATGCTTCAGTTCAGCCACATTTGTAGGATGTCTGGTGTGAATGACTCTTTTGAAGTCATTCCACAGCATCTCTATGAGCTCAAGGTCTGAGCTCTGAGTGGGCAACTCCAAAAAGCACATCTTTTTCTGAAGCCAGTCTGTGGTGGATTTACTTTGATGCTTAGGACCATTGTACTGCTGCATCACCCAACTTCTACTAAGCTTCAGCTGGCAGACAGCCACCCTGACATTATCCTGTAGGATAGTTTGGTAAACTTGGGAATTCATTTTCCCTTTGATGATGGCAAATGATCCAGGCCCTGATGGCAAGTCCAAGTCATGATGTTCCCTCCACCATATTTCACCACTGGGTTGAGGTTTTGATGTAGGTAAGCTGTACCCTTTTTGTGCCATACAAAATGCTGAGTATTCTTTGTGAACAATTCAACTTTTGTTTTATCAGTCCACACAATATTCTCCCAGTAATGCTGTAGGTTGCTGGGGTGCTCTTTTTTTCCTCCATGGTATTTTGCTATGGACACCCTGCTTGTTCAAAGACTTATGTTAGACTCATGAATGTTTGCCAGTTCCAGTGTTGTCTTCAAGTCTTTAGCTGTTACTCTTGGGTTCTTCTTTACCTCATTGAGGATTCTTTGTTGTGCCTTGGGAGTCATTTTGGCTGGGTGCCCACTTCTAGGAAGAGTAGCCACAGTACTAAACTATCTGCACTGATAGACAACTTGTTTGTCAACTGATGGATGGTTAAACACTTTCAGATTGCTCTTTATCCCTTTCCAGCTTTATGAAGATCAATTACTCTTGATCATATGTCCTCAGAGAGCTCCTTTTGTGAAACACGGTTCACATCAACTGATGCTTCTCATGAACAGCAATCTTAAAATATTTGAGTGACTTCTCAAACAAAGTAGCTCTAGACCACATGCCGGGTGCGTAAACTACTGACTCTAATTAGCTTTTGTTGAATTACCGTTTGGATTCACCTTTTACCTCCAGCATGATGAATCTGCAATAGGTCCGTATATTAACGATGTGAGAAATTAGAATTGTTTGTGTATTAACTTAAGCACATAAGGGATTATTTAACCACATGCCGCCCAGCCACCGCATATAAACGGTGGCAGGGCGGAACTCGTAGGCAAAAGCACGTTTTAAAACGTGTGCCTACAAAACAGGTAGGGGACGCGCGCGAGCCCGCCCTACCTGTCCCGTGGGTGTCAGCAGCGGGTCTCCGCCGCCGGGTCACAGACGGTTTTTACCAGCCGTTTTCCTGCGATGAGCGGTGAACACTGACACAGAGCAGGGCTGCATTGTTTACACACAGCCCTGCTCTGTGACAGTTCGCCGCCAAGCTGCAGAGGGAAAGAACAGTTTCTCTCCCTGGATCAGCTCCCCCCTCCCTCCCCCCGTCCAGTACACACCCCCGCCCCCTAGTAAAACACTCCCCTTACACTGCAAATTCTAAAAATGTTAACCCCTTCCTCCCCAGTGACATTAGTACAGTTTCAGTGGTTTTTTTTCACTGATCACTGTATTGGTGTCACTGGGGATGTCAGTGACTCCAAGTCAGCTCCCCCCCAGTGTCAAAATGTCCGCCGCAGTCCCGCCATAAGTCGCTGGTCGCCGTCATATGTCGCTGATTGCCGCCATTATTAGTATAAATAAAAATCCCAGTATCTTTCCCGCCATTTGTAAATGCTATAACTTTCACATAAACCAATTATTTACACGTATTGGGTTTTTTTTTTTTTTTTTAGCAAAGACATGTCGCAGAATGCATTTTGGCAGAAATTTATGACTAAATTTGATTTTTGCATTTTTTTTTTACTGGACATGTTTTATAGCAAAAAGTGCAAAATATTGTTTTTTTTCCCTCAAAATTGTCAGCCTTTTTTTTTTTTTTATAGCGCAAAAAATAAAAACCGCACAGGCGATCAAATACCACCGAAAGAAAGCTCAATTTGTGGGGAAAAAAAGGATGTAAATTTCATTTATGTACCGTATTGCATGACCGCGCAATTGTCCGTTAAACTAGCGCAGCGCTGTATAGCAGAAAAATGGCGTAAATTGCAGTATTTATACCATAGATTGTAGACGCTATAACTTCCACACAAAGCAATCAATATACACTTATTGGGATTTTTTTTACCAAAAACATGTAGCAGAATACATTTTGGCCTAAATTTATAACAAACTTTGAGATTACTATATTTTTTTTTTATAGCTGAAAGTAAAAAATATTGTTTTTCTTCAAACTTTTTGGCCTTTTTTTGTTTATAGCATGAAAAATAAAAAGCGCACAGGTGATCAAATACCACCGAAAGAAAGCTCTATTTGTGTGAAAAAAAGGACGTAAATTTCGTTTGGGTGCAGCATTGCATGACCACGCAATTATCAGTTGAATTAGTGCAGCGCTGAGTAGCAAAAAGAGGCCTGGTCATTAAGGGGGGTAAATCCTCAGGAGGGCAAGTGGTTAATACAGCTGGAGAGTGAAAAAATTGGGCTCACTTCTGCAGAGAAACCAATCAGCTTCCAGGTTTTTGGCCAAAGCTTCATTGAACAAGCTGAGGTTAGAAGCGGATTGGTTTCTATGCAGAAGTGAGTCTGATTTTTCACTCTCCAGCTTTAGTAAATAAACCCATTGTTGTGACATAGATGAGGAGCAGATCACATTTTATGGCAAATTACTGCAGAAAACCGGTTAGTAAATATAATGCAGTGTAGCGCTTCCTATGTGAACAAACAATACACCTATGTGCAATTCATACACTGAAAAAGCAAAATCAATTATATATCGTAATCACAAAAAGATTACCTCCAGCAGCATGATGTCACCGTGGCAGAGACTTCCATGTTCACCCGGTCTTCCTTCCGAGTTCGCAAACTGACTGGCCTGGCCGCAATGACATCACTCCCGTGCATGTGCTTGGAAGTCCCTGGCTATGGCACAGTACTCTGAAGGAACGGCTGTTCCTTCAGACAGCATGCACTGGGTCTAAAAAAAGAGTCATTGTCTCCTACATGGTGCACGTTTAGGAGATATTTATTTTACCTACAGGTAAGCTTCATTATAGAAAAAAAAACACTTTAACCTTCACAAAAAACACTGCTAAACTCCTGTAGAAGAAAAAATGTTTTTTGAAGGATAAGTTCACCTTTTAGACAAAAATAGTAGAAACATTTTTTTGAAGGTAAAAAAAAAAAAAATGTGCATTTATTATTTTTGTCTACAGGAGCCTGGAAAGCATTGCACCGGCGATTAGTAGATCACTGGTGCCATGCAGGTCTCCTGCAGAATAGAGAATTCCTGCAGAATATCTGTTTGGCCATACAGGATATATGAGCAAGGAGATATTCTGACAAGAAGCTTGAAGGAACTACCACAGCACTGTAGTAGTTCATTGAAAACTACAATCTGACAGCCGCTAAGGCTGTCAGGACTTGCAGTTCATTCATTCAAGGAAGCCTGTGAATGAATGACGCAGCAGTGTGGGCTGAGAGAGATAATACGGGGAGAATTGGGAGGGGGCGTGGCAGCTGCGGCTATGGGAACACGTTACATATTTCCACCCTAAAAACAGGTGGAACATGCTCCCAAAGGTGAACTTATCCTTTAAAGTGTTATTAAACCCAGGGCCCTGCATTCACTATATCTGGTCTCCCACAGTACACACACATGGAAATGCAGTTATTTTAGAAAATATAAACTGCTAAATACCTTTTCTCATCAGCAGTATATAGCAGTCTTGTGACTTCTATCAGTGTCCAGCCAAGCACTGGTTAATCAGAGTTTTCATTCTCCTCTGACTGTTCTCTGAGGCTGCATAACCCCCGACCCTGTCTGGACAACACGGATTGGGCCTGTGCTGATCGCGTGCACTTCCCCTGCCCAAAAAAAAACACACTGCCACCACTGCTCTATTACAAATGAATTAGGGATAGCAAAATAAGGGAGGACACTGACTTATAACAGTGTTCAGCTGAGCACTGGTTAAAGCTTGTAGGAGGAGTTTTCTCTATGAGGATGTAGAACCCCTGACCTCTGTCTGGGCAGTGCTGATTGGCTCTGTGCTGACCACATGCACTCTGCCAAAAAAACAAAACACCTTTCCAGCGATGCACACCAAATTGAGCATGTGCAGTGACTACACACCATATGTCTGATCAGGAAATAAGAGGTAGACACTGGAAGAAGGGGAGGATCAGAGAAGTCAGGATCAAACAGCATTTTTCCACAATGGAGAGGATTAACCCCTTAGATTCCACAGTGAGTATAACAAGCATACTTTACTGTATAGAGACTGATTTTACTGTTGTGGGTTTAGTAACACTTCAAGCGTACACTTCCTGGAATCTAGCTTTAACCTGAGCTCATTTGGCTCTCTTACCTCTACATCCCCAGTGACCCAGGATGGTTCTTGCTCCTCCTGCGCCAGGATCTCAGCTATTCTTAGCCCCTCTTATTCAGTGGACCACTGGAGGCTATAAAGCAGGCAGAGGTTCCAAAGGAACTTGCAGCGGAGAACGCAGTACAGTATGTGTCCAGCGGGTGTCCCTAAAACCACACAGAAGGAACACATTTTTACTCGAAGACAATCATTCTCCCAGCTCTGGTCTTTTTGTTTCACAAATTCCATAAAATCAATAGACATCTTAGGTAAAAAAATTTTTAAAAAAAAGTCTAGCGAACTATTCATCTCTGTCACTTAGTAGAGTGGGAACAAATCCAGGTAGGAGAATGGTGTCCTCCTCCGACAAAATTCCATCAATACCAACTCTTTCTATTTCTGGCAACATGCATTCCATTCTGGTTAATTTGTTACAGCAATTAGCCGAAAGAATACATCAAGAATATAGTCGATTGAAGCGAGCTACTTCCTGTATACATAAATAGGAGCTGGAAATACAGAACCATAGAAAGGAAAGAGATGGCCATCTGTCACAAGAATGGACACTGGATTTCTTCTTTCCACATGAAATTTGGGGCGCCTGGTCGGGAAGGATCTCTGGTCTACTTAGGGAAAGCATGTAGAAGAAAGGAAGGAAGCTGGGTAGTGTGTGCTGGGGGGACTTTTCACTGTCCTGGGAGCTCAGTGTCTGGGGAAGTGCCTCCTCGCTCTGTACTCCTCTTGGCCCATGTCATAGAGGTCACCAGGAGCTGCTCATGTCTGATGGATGGAGGGTGGACAAGCTAGGTATCAGAGCACGGCTGCCAGTCCATGGCCACAGATTTTATTCAGACTTTTCACTGTGCCATGCAGGCTGCCTCCACACAACTAATGACGTGTACCTAGGATGCCGCTACGTTCTTCCCTGCACCGCAGCCCCTCACATTGCCCTCCACACGCCCGCTCGCCTACACCACCGACTGCCCTACATTCATGCAGCGCAAACTTCCGCCGCCTACCTCGGCATTTCAGCGCTGCGCCCTCCCCGCAGGGTCCCCTCCGGGCGGAGCTAGCCCCGGTTGCGCCACACCCTGTACCCGGTTACCTCCAGCCGCCGAGTACCGGAGCAGGAGGAGCAGCGTGGCCCGGATGTGAGCGGCGAACACGATTGGCAACTGGGCGGACGGAGGGGCGTGCCTCAGGTAGAGCTGTCACGTGACGCGCATGAGCCGGTCCGTACTTAGTAATTAGTAGAAGGTGGGAGTTGGTGGTGGGCGCTGAAGTGCGATAGTGGAGCCCACGTCATTCCGTTGTTGGCGTTAGATTAACGCACGGTGCTTGCTTCTCTCTGCTCTGTTCAGAAAAGAAGAAGCTGTTGGAGGGTTACCTTCACAACTGGTACTGGTCACAAGGAGCGTGAGGGCATTGTAGTCTCCATATACCCAAACGGGCGGACTGACAACTCATGGGGCCCCCAGGCAATAAGGGATCATGGGGCCCCTGTGTCCTTGCCCAAACTCAAAAAAGCCTATGAAAAAGGTACCAGGGGCATCTCATGGGGCCCCCTACAGACCCCAGGCCCTCAAGCAGTGCCCGAGTTTCCAAATGGTCTGCCCCTGCACAAGAGTGAGGGCATTGTAGTCTCCATACACCCAAACGGGCGGACTGACAACTCATGGGGCCCCCGGGCAATAAGGGATCATGGGGCCCATGTGTCCTTGCCTAAACTCAAAAAAGCCTATGAAAAAGGTACCAGGGGCATCTCATGGGGCCCCCTACAGACCCCAGGCCCTCGAGCAGTGCCCGAGTTTCCAAATGGTCCGCCCCTGCACAAGAGTGAGGGCATTGTAGTCTCCATACACCCAAACGGGCGGACTGACAACTCATGGGGCCCCCGGGCAATAAGGGATCATGGGGCCCATGTGTCCTTGCCTAAACTCAAAAAAGCCTATGAAAAAGGTACCAGGGGCACCTTATGGGCCCCCTACGGACCCCAGGCTCTCAGCAGTGCCCGATTTTCCAAATGGTCAGTCCGCCCCTGCACCCAAATTGCTAAAATTGTGCCATGGACGCACGCTGAGAAAATCGGACAGAAAAACAGTGTTTTCGGAGCGATTGGCTGATCGTTCGTACACAGCTTTCGAGAGCCGATCACAACAGTTCATGCGACAATATCCAAAGGGCAGAGCCATGGATATGGGGGTACCACCAGTCCTCCTGTAGGGGGCCCAGGCAGCTGGGTGAATTGGATGTGGGCACGGAGGGTGATTGGCATGGTGGGGTGGGGGGGCAATTGCTGGAACAGATCCCCTGTATGGCTCTCTGCAGCAGCTGAAAGCTGGCTTCTTATCCTCTTCCTCCCGCTGGATTTCAGCTGCTGCAGAAAGAGCCTTACAGGGGATTGGTTCCAGTAATCCCTCCCGCTGCATCTATAACCCTCTTTGTGCACTATACATTCCCCCTGCTGCTCAGCACCCCTTGTCTGCCCCTAACCCGGCAGTACTGCAAGTGTCCCTCCTCTCCTTCCCACCAGCAGCTGCAAACACAAAATAGGATCCTTCAGGATGGAGAGTGGGAAAGGGTCTGGTAAATATGTCACATTTACCAACCCTTCCTTTCCTGAATGAACACAATGAATGATCAGTACTGATCACTCAGTGTGTTCATAACTGAAGCACAGTAACATGTTTGGGGTTTTTTTTGGGGGGGGGGGGCCCTGTCAGGTTGGCTGTATGGGGCTTGTGATTTCTAACAGCAGTCCTGCCAAAAGGACACCAGAATGAACAATTTTCATTTAAAGAATTCCAGGCTAAAGTTTTATGTTCCTTGATCCCCTACAGTCCAGCTGCTGTCCACTACACTCCCCCGAAACCGCCCTACTCAAACTCACCAACGACCTGCTAACCACCAAAACGAATGGCCACTACTCAGTTCTCCTACTCCTCGACCTCTCTGCGGCTTTCGACACAATTGACCACTCCTTCCTCCTCAAAAAACTATACTCTTGGCCTCAGAGACTCCGCTCTCTCCTGGCTCTCGTCCTACCTATCACAGCGCTCCTTCAGTGTTACCTATAACGCTGCCACCTCCCCCTCACTCCCCCTCTCTGTTGGGGTCCTTCAAGGTTCTGTCCTCGGGCCCCTCCTCTTCTCCATCTACACCTCCTCCCTTGGCCAAGTGATACACTCCCACGGCTTCAACTACCATTTCTATGCCGATGACACGTAAATCTATCTCTCTACCCCCTCGACTCACCCCCTCAGTCTCCGGCGGAATCACTAGCCCTCTGAACGCCATATCAAATTGGATGTCATTCCACTTCCTCAAATTAAACCTTTCCAAAACCGAGCTCCTATTTTTTCCCCCAGCCCACCATCAGCTCACCCCGCAAACCAGAGTACTAGGTGTCATTCTAGACTCCAATCTATCCTTCCAGCCCCAGGTCCAATCGCTGACAAATTCATGCAGGCTCCACCTCCGCAATATCTCCAAAATACGTTTGTTCCTAACCCCAGACACTACTAAGCAACTCATTCACTCCCTTATTATATCACGACTTGACTACTGTAACTCCCTCCTCACCGGCTTACCGCTCCGTTCCGCCACCCCCCTCTGCCAATCCCTTGACTGGCTTCCGATTGCCCAATGCATAAAATTTAAATTACTAACACTGACGTACAAAGCTGTTCATAACACTGCCCCAAACTATATCACCTACCTGATATCCATCTACCACCCAAAACGTACTCTTCGCTCCTCACAAGACCTCCTACTCTCTAGTTCCCTGGTCTCCTCCTCCCATGCCCGGCTCCAGGACTTCACCAGGGCTTCCCCCATCCCCTGGAACTCACTACCCCAATCCATCAGTCTGTCACCTACCCTCCTCACCTTTAGGCGCACCCTGAAAATCCATCTCTTCAGGGAAGCCTACCCCGCCCTCACCTAATTTCCGATCTCCTCCACTCTTCCTACCACTCCATCCCCCCACAGCTATTTCTTCCTGTACCACTATCCCCTCCCTCCTAGAATGTAAGCTCCAAGGAGCAGGGCCCTCAAACCCCTCGTGTATTGTATTGTTACTGTACTGTCTCGTGTACTGTCTGCCATTATAATGTACAGGGCACTGATGATCAGTGTAGGTCAGGGCACTGATGATCAGTGTAGCCCCATCAATGCCACCTGTATGTGCGCATCAATGACACGTACCAGTGCACATCTATGCCATATATCAGTGCCTACCAGTGCACATCAATGCCACATATCGGTGCCCATCAGAGCTGCCTATCAGTGCAAGTCAGTACCATATATGAGTGCTGATTTTCAAAGCACATCAGCGATGCCTGTCAATGCCTATCAGTGCCGCATATCAGTGCCCATCACTGCAGCCTCATTAGCGCACATCAGTGAAGGAGAATCATTACTTATTTACAAAATTTTATAACAGAAACTAAGAAAAAACTTATTTTTTCTTTTCATGATTTTCAGTCTTTTTTAGTTTGTTTAGCAAAAAATAAAAACCCCAGTGGTGATTAAATACCACCAAAAGAACGCTCTTATCTAACAAAAATGATAAACATTTTGTTTGGGTGCAGTGTTGCATGACCGCGCAATTGTCAAAGTGTGACAGCGCTGAAAGCTGAAAATTGGCCTGGGCAGGAAGGGGTTAAAAGTGCCCTGTAGGCAAGTGGTTAATACAAGAAAGAATTTTGCTCGCTTTAAAAACCGCAGGTTGGAATTGCATTTCATTATTAAGCTTATGATCTACCGAACTCCCAGATTCTTCTCCACCATTGATTCCCACAGTTGTACACCCCCTAAATGACACTGGGCAGAAAGGAGTTAACATCTGGGGCGATCAAAGGGTTAACTGTGTGCTGTTTTATATCATGTGCTGTGTGTGCTTTACTAGGGAGACATGTTGCTTTGCATTTCTCTGC